GTGCTGGGCGGGGGCGGGGGGGGTTATTTAAACGCGACATGCCACCGCGGCAAGGGGTGGTGGTAACGCCCGCATTGTGCCCCACTTTCCAGAGGTCTTTCCAGCGATCCGTTAGGTGGCTGCCTGGGAGGATGGGGCCGAGGGAGGAAGGTGCTGGAAGGCATTTCGAGGGGTCAAGGGACTAACTTCTCTTACCAGCTGTCCCAGCCCCAGAGGTGTGGTGCTGCATATAGACAACATGGGTGTGTTTTTCCCTTGACAAAGGACTCAAATACAAATGCATATGTGTATACAGACATACATATATATTCACAAACACATGCAATAGGAAGTCTAACCTGGCTGTGTTCTGAAATTGGATAAAGTGACAAGAAATAAAATGTTATTCAACCCCATAGTTGCAGCCGAAGCAAACACTTCTCATTCTTTTCAAATACAGTTTCAACAGAGAGATGATGTTGGAGGGTGATGCGGTTGGCTTGGTTTTTGTCTAAATTCCTACCTTAAAAAGTGGCTCTTACCCAATAGCTGCCATCCGTTAACAGTTCTTCACCTTTACACAGCAAGTAAAGGTCTGTCTCTGGTTTTGTCATAGTGTCACCGACTCCTTTTTCCATGCGGTTACAGAGCAGGGCAGGGTTTCTTACGGTGTTTGTTTCTAGAGCGTGTGACAGAACTGGCACTATGTTTCCCCCTTTATGTGCAGCATAACTCTGATTGGGAGCTCAAGTAGGGATGAGTCCAACAGCTTCTGTGTGCCAATGGTTATCACGGATTCACACCCTTCGCTATAAAATTCCCACATATACAGTTGGATGCCAGCACCGCTCCCTGCAGAGCTGTCTCCCGGTGTCTTCGTAAACAACTTCCCTACAAAAAATCGGTAACAAAAACTGGCCTTCTTAAAGAGGTGCTACTTCCCACTGCACAGATTCTCGGTAAGTGAAACTCATTCTACTAGCTGAAGATCCAAATAAAGCCGTTGTTGTCAAATTAAGCATAAGATCTGTTTGTTTTCCTTCAGGACTAATTCTCTTCATTTAGCAGGGAGTTAGGCATCAACTTGTGCTTCAAATTGTAAGCATATTTGTTAGCATGTGCGCGTTCCACAGGTGACTCACATGGGAAACACCGAAGTCAAATGACTTCTAAAAAATATTTGTTATCCTGACACATGGGAAATTATTAGCCAAGTTAGAGAAAATAGACATTAGTGCCAGTGGTGTAAAATGAATAAGGGACTTACTAGGGGAAGACTAGACATTGAACTGAAAGGTGAATTACTGTGATTCAAGTTTTTAGCAGACTTTCTAAATAATGATATGTGAGCTTTAATATGAATGAAGTGGGGACAAAAGTACAAGGCATTTGCCAGAGGTTGGAAGTATAGGGTCGTTACACAGAACAGTCCAATAGCCCTCAATACTGTATAAAGTGAAATGAAATGGGTAGCATGAAATTTGGCAGCAGAAAGTGTGAGACAATTGTCCTAAGTAATAGTCTTGGCTTTTTTTTTTTTTGTTCTGACCTAGGACTGAAAGAGAAGAAGGAAAAGTGGGATTCATTTATCCTAAGATGACAATAAAGATTACCAGGTAGGAACTGCTCACAGAAAAAAAAGAGATACAAATGGAAGTTGTATCAGGCAGGGTAATTTCACTGGAGCTAGAGAGATACTAGTATGACCTCCTCTGAAATAGGTTTCTAGTTCTGCTCATGCTTGTTCAGTAAAGAAGAATGAAGATGAATTGGAACAGGTGCAGAGGAGATAAGGGAACTAAAGAGTGTTTTTTACAAGAGGAAACTATAAAAGCTTGGTATGTTTAGCACAGCAAAACAAACGGTCAGAGGGTGACAGCTGTCTGTATACACACATCACAGAAGTAAACACAAAAAAAAGAGAGAAGTTATTTAAGCTAAAGAGCAATGTCAACCAAAGAACAAATACGAATACATGTGCCATGAATACATTCAGGCTAGATAACAGATGAAGTTTTAAAGCCATCTGAGATCTTCCATTAACTTTGCAACAGGAAGAGTGGGGACATGCAGAAGCTGTATATTTATGTTCTTCAGAGTACATATGATCTCCTCTTCATTTTTACTCCCATTCCTGCCGATATTCTCACTACCATGACCCACAGACAAATCTCCAAATCCAAACTATCTTCCAGTGACTCAAAGTACACTTCCCTATCTTCCAGAGGGAGCTACAGTCCAAATGGAACCAGAGCCTATCTGTAGTAGCTCAGGGCTATGAAAAGCACACATGTTACAAGCACCATGTTCTTTGTTCTCTTTGTTGAACCCTAACACTGGATCTACTCAGATCTAAGGGTTACTTACATTCGTTCAGTAACCAGTAACTGACCGCTTGTGATTTGTGTTTATACACGTTGGGATCTCTGGAGTCATTCTGTGCCTGCACTTTTGGGGACTTCTCCTATGCCTGTTCACTTTCTTCTGACAGTTATTCTCTTCCCCTCTCCATCCCTCAGCATTTGCATGTCTGAAGCAACATCTACAGCAAACTGAGGAAGAATGCTCACTGTGCGAAACTTCTCTGTGCTGAAGAGAAAAGACTGTTTCTTTGACTGTTTTGCTATCTTTCTAGCTTGTGTCTGTCCTAGGTCACCCCTTTCCCACAGTCAGCCCATTTCTCATGTGCACCCGCATCCTTCAAGGTCCCTTCCAACCTCAACACATTCTTAGTGTGTAGTTCTGTCCGTGGCACAGGATTAAACTCTGCAGCAAACCATGAATTTATGATGAACATGTGCACTCATGAGGGCTTGCAGATTGCAGGGGTGCACAGATTATCAGAAAAAGATGAGCTGCAGGAACTGTGAGGAGTGGCACAGGATGCAAGAGCCATTGCTTTGCATTGAGAGTATGCCAATTGGACTGCTGCTGGGAAGAGACTGAAAGTCTAGGCTCAGCAGTCAGGACCACTAGGAAAAGTATGATGTGATCAAATTCCTGCCCGGTCCTCTTTTATGTGGAGATGTCACTGTGTTACTGTATGTTGAGAATATCTCCAAAAAGCTATCATCAGAAGCCATTATGAGGCATCTACAGTAGTAGACTAGGGGATCCTGTTTTTCATGCTAGGCCAAGATTCCCAGGATAGTAATGACTTAGATGGATGCAGACAGTCCTTGGCTTTGTTGCACAGTAGTGCTGAGATCTTCAATGAGGATGTCGCATGGGTAGAGGATGGTGCCCTGGGGCCAGCCTGCCCAGGAAAACTACACTCAAGTAGCTGGTAGGTTAGTCAACCATCTTCCTGATGAGTCAGCTGCTCTGGGTAGGAATCCCTCGTAGCTCTGCTTTCTTAAGCTCTGAAATCACTATAGAAACTTCAATTTCTCTTCTTCTGCCTTTGCACAGTTGGTGTGACAGTGAGTCTAGGCCTGTGCTCTTAGCTTCAAAGAAAATACCAAGTGAATAGTATGAACTAAGCTGGAGCTCAGCACACTCTTCTAATGTGCTACACTAGCTAGCAGGTTTGTTTTCAGTTTCAGTGCTAATTCATTTAAAGCTAGTCTCCTTTAACCCTCCTCCCAGTATATCTGACTGTACTCAGAGAGTCAATTAATACTGTTCAGTGATACTTATCTACCCATATCTGAAAAGGGATATTTTGAAGATAAGGACAACACTGTAAAAAAGAAAAAGGCAAAAAAAAAAAAAACCTCCTCACAGCAGAACTTGCTCTCCTTTTTCATGGCTATTTGTTGTTTCTAAGGAAGAAGCCTCACTCAGTTTTCTTAATAAATAGTCACATCTGTTATGAAATGCTGTACTTTTACACCTACTCTAAGTGACAAATAAGAGGTCATACTTTACTTTCTGGGTAGGAGGACTTAGTAGATTCTGAGTTCTGTCCTGAGCCATGAGGCACACATACAGTTTTTCCAGAGTCAATTTTGTTCGAACTCACTGGCATTTAGACAACTCTTTCAGGAGGACAAAAGTAAAGAAAGAAACAATCTAAAAAAAGTCTTAACCTCAGACACTTTAACTTAGACTTTTAAAACAAAGAAGTCAGTTAATTTCCTAGGGGGAAAAAAAAAGTATGCTGAATGTATCTACTGTCACTCAGTTTCTCTTTTGTGGGGCTTGGGGTCATCAAGTGAGTACTAGATGAGGCAGGAGACCTCCTCCTATCTTCTTCCTCTCTGATCCTCTTCCTCAAACTGTTCTTACCTCTTTCCTTTGGATTTCCCTCATTTCCCCCAGTCTGAGTACTCTACATCTCTCAACAGATGTCCAAGTGAAATATTCACTCCCTTTCTTTTCAGAAAAGTTCTGGGTAGAATCCCTTAAAAACATTGGCCTTACCATAGAAAATCTAGTTTTAGTGTTCCAGTAAAAGGCAGCTATTAGAAGTCTTTTCTTGCCCATGATCAAGTGTAACCTAATTTCCCTGCACATTACAGAAATGTTCTGAACACGTGTAGAGACTGCACAGAAGGTCGCAATTAGATTTACAGTCTAAAACAAACAAGCTTTCACAGAACAAAGTGTTTTTCACCATTGGACAGAAGCATATCCCGATCTGCCACAAATCAGATCACAATATACACGTCTATGTGGCCAACTGGGAGATCACTGGAGTCAATGAAATATTTTCGCTGGCAATATGGCAATAGCTACTTCTAAAATATGTGTAGGTTGCATGAGAAAAATATGCAAATTTGTTAGCATGCTTTCCATGCAAACTGTAATCCACTTCAACAAATATTTTGCCCTAAAATACTGATATTTCAATGAATAAAAAGCTCAACTATGTATCGTCCTTCTGGAGCTCTGATTATTTGTTCATTATTTTTACTCCTATACCACAGATTTTCTCCAAATGCATTGCTAAGACTAACATTCCGTTGTAAGTTTTAGAGAGGACTTTTTTTTTCTTTGACAAGCTAAGCTACATCCTTTAGGTCACAGCTTGGTCCTGCTTTTATGAAAATATGTTCTATTAAAGTCTTTTGTTAGAAAACACAATATCCACACATACATTTGTAGGCCATATTACGTCCTATGGTTATTATTGTTATTTACTTTTATACAAAAGAGTAACAGCCAGAAGACCTATCATGACAGAAATTATATAAACATACAATAGGGCCTTTTTCAAAGGACTCTAATCCTGAGAGACAGGTGGGAAGGTAGACAGTCAGGAGCACTGAGAGTAACCCATAATTAGAAAGCAGATTAGTGACATAGTTCGAGATCGGATCCCAAGGTTCTTGATGATTTATCCCATGCATTAGAGTATCACTAGATCCTTGTAACTTCCAAACAGTTTTGTTTTCTAATGTCTTGATGAGATATAAAAATCTGTTTCAGGACGGTCAAATGTTAAATATGGTGTTAAGTTTAGCAGGATAATTTGCTGAAATTTATACAAACCATTATTTTTTTCTCATTACTCAATATTAACTGATTTGATAAAATTCTCAGGCTGAGGATTCAAATGCACATGAGGAATAACGGACTGGGAAAAACTCCACTGTTCATAAACCTAAATGGTAGTCCTACTTTCCAGTGTAAAACCCTCCAACTCCCACCCTTTCCCCACCTGACCATGTTCACTGTAGCATCTCTTTATCAG